ATCAAAAATCAATTAATGTAATCTATCACATCAACAGACTACAAAAAAAAAAAAAAAAAATTATGTGATCATATCAATAGATGCAAAAAAAAAAAAAAAACTGACAAAAATCCAACACCCATTCATGATAAAAATTCCCAGTAAACTAGAGAGAAACATTCTCAACTTGATAAAAATAAAATACAAGTTAAAAAAACCTTAAAAAACACCTTAGCTAACATCATACTTAATAGTAAGAAGCCAGAAGCCTTTCCACTAAGACCAGGAATAAGGCAAGGACGTCTCCTCCCACCACTGTTTTTCAACGTCATACTATGAGTCCTAGCTAATGCAATTAAGACACGAAAAGGAAATAAAATGTATACAGATCGGGAGGAAATAAAAACTGTCTTTTGTTTGTGAATGACATGATCACCTATGCAGAAAATCCAAAAGAACTGACAAAAAAATTCCTGGAACTAATAAAAGATGACAGCATACATATTTATGACATAAATGTTAACTGCTTTCCTCTACACTAGCAACGAACTAGTAGAATTTGAAATTTAAAACAATACTATCTACATTAACACCCCCATATATGAAATAAGTTAGGTATAAATCTAACAAAATATATATAACATCTACATGCGAGAAAACTACAAAACTCTGAGAAAGAAATAAAAGAAAATCAAATAAATAGAGAGATATTCAATGTTCATGGATAGGAAGACTCAACACTGTCAAAACGTCAGTTCTTCCCAACTTCACCTATACATTCAATTTAATACCAATCAAAATCCCAGCCAAGTTCTTAATGTAGATACTGACAAACTGATTTTAAAGATTACACAGGCTGGGCATGGTGGCTCATGCCTGCAGTCCCAGGACTTTGGGAGGCAGAGGCAGGTGGATCATTTGAAATTAGACGTTTCAGACCAGTCTGGCCAACATGGTGAAACCTCATCTCTATTAAAAATACAAAAATTAGCTGGGCACGATGGCGTACACTTGTAATTCCAGCTACCTTGGAGGTTGACGAGAGAGAATCGCTTGAACCCGGGAGGTAGAGGTTGCAGTGAGCCAAAATCGTGCCACTGCACTCCAGCCTGGGTGACAGAGAGGGACTCTGTCTCAAACAAAAGAATAATAATAAATTTTAAAAAAAATAAAGTTTACACAAAGAGACAAAAGACCCAGAACAACCAACTCAATCTTGAAAAATAAGAATAAAGAGAGAAGACACTGTCCAATTTCATTACTTAAAAAAGCAGTAGTCACCAAGACAGTGATTACTGGTGAAAGAACAGACAAATAGATCAGCAGAACAGAGATTCGGAAAACTGACCCACATACATATAGTCAAACTAATCTTTGACAAAGGAACAATGGCAACACGATGAAGCAAAGATAGTCTTTTCACAAATGGTGCTGGAACAATTGGATATTTACATGCAAAAAAATGAATCTCAACAAAGACATTATACCTTTCACAAAAACTAACTGAAAATGGATCACAGACCTAAATGTAAAACGCAAAGCTATAAAACTCCTAGAAGAAAACACTGGAGAAAAATCTAGAAGGTACAAGATCAGCACAAAAAATCCGATGTTTCTAAACACCAGCAATAAACAATCCAAACTGTAAATTAAGAAAGCAATTCCATTCACAACAGCATCTAAAAGACTAAAGTACTTGGGAATAAATCTAATCAAGGAAATGAAAGACATACTGAAAACTACAAAACACAGTTGAAATAAAGAAGACCAAAAGACCTAAAAGAATGGACAGACATCCTGTGTCTTCATGAATATGAAGACTTAACATTGCAAAGGTATCAATTCTACCCAAAGTGACCTGTAGATTCAACAAAATCCCTCTCAAAATTTCAACAGCCTTTTCTAAAGAAATGGAAAAGCTGATCCTCAAATTCATATGGAATTGCCAAGGGCCTCAGACAAAAAAATCTTGAAAGAGAAGAATTAAGTTGAAGGACTAACACTTCCCAATGTCCTACAAAGACACAGTGATTAAAGCAGTGTGGCGCTGTCAAAAAGACAGACAAATAAATAGACCAATGGGCTAGAACAGAGAAGCCAGAAATAAACCCTCACATACATGATAAATTGATTTCTGATAAAAGTGCCAAAACCATTCAATAAAGAAAGAACAGCCTTTTTAATAAATAGTGCTGAGAAAATTTAATATCCAAATGCAAAAGAATGATGTTAGTTAGACCCTTACCTAACATCACATATAAAAATAAACTCAAAACAAATCAACAGGCCGGGCGTGATGGCTCACGCCTGTAAGCCTAGCACTTTGGGAGGCCGAGACGGGTGGATCATGAGGTCAGGAGATGGAGACCATCCTGGCTAACACGGTGAAACCTCGTCTCTACTAAAAATACAAAAAAATTAGCCGGGTGTAGTGGCGGGCGCCTGTAGTCTCAGCTACTAGGGAGGCTGAGGCAGGAGAACAGCATGAACCCAGGAGGTGGAGCTTGCAGTGAACCCAGATCGCACCATTGCACTCCAGCCTGAGCGACAGAGAGAGACTCTGTCTCCAAAAAAAAATAAAAAATAAAAAATAAAAAAATTCAACCATCGTTTTCTCTTTTTCCCTTTTTTCTTTTTCTCTCACAAAGTCACAGATCAACAATCTAAATGTAAGAGCTAACTCTATAAAACTCTTGGAAGAAAACAGGAAAATCTTCATGACACTGAATTTGACAACAATTTCACAGACATAAAAACAAAAGCACAGCTAGTAATATAAAAATAGATCACACTACATCATAATTTAAAATTTTTGCACATTAAAGGACAATATCAAGAAAGTAAAAGACAATCTACAGAATGAGAGAAAAATTTACAATTCAGACATTTGGTAAGGAATTAATATCCAGATGACATAAAGAACTCTACAATTCAACAACAACAAAAAAACTCAATTAAAAAGTGGGCAAAGGCCTTAAACGAACATTTCCCCAAGGAAGACATACATGAAAAGATGTTCAGTATCACTAGTCTTCAGGACAATGCAAATCAAAACCACAACGAGATACTACTTCATGCTCATTAGGATAACTGTAATTTAAAAAGGGAAAAAAGTAAAGAGTGTTAAATAGGATGTGGAAAAACTGGAATCCTAGTGTTTTGCTGGTGGATGTAAACTGGTGCAGCTGCTATGAAAAACACTATGGCAACTCCTCAAAACATTAAACACAGAATTACCATACGACCCAGCAATTTCACTCCTACATATATACCCAAACAAACTGAAAGCTAGGACTCGAACAGGTAGTTGTACACTGATGTTCACAGCAGCATTACACTCAAAAGCCAAAAGACAGAAACACCCAAGTGTCCACTGAAGGATGAGGGAATAAATAAAATGTGGTATATATAATAGAATATTATTCGGCCATAAGAAAGAATGAAATGTTGATATATGCTATGACATGAACAGACCTTGAAAACCTCATGCTTAATAAGACAGACACAGAAGGCCAAATATTGTATGATTCCACTTATATGAGCTTACCCAGAGTGGGCAAATTCATAGAGACAGAAAGTAGAATGGTAGTTGCCATGAGTTGGAAGGCAGGAGGGAATTGAGGTTTGTTTTTTAATGGGCAAAGTTTTAGTTTTACAAGATGAAGAGTCCTGAAGATTGGCTGTACAATGTAAATGTACTTAACATTATTGAACTGTACACTTAAAAATGATTAAGATAGTGGCCAGGCGTGGTGGCTCACTCCTGTAATCCCAGCACTTTGGGAAGCCAAGGCAGGCAGATCACTTGAGGC